GGATTGGCCACTTCGATTTTTGACCATTCCCTTGTCAGCCACTTCTACTAAAATAATGTTATGTGCTCCTCAGCTTTCTTCAAAAAAATTGCCAATGATTTCAAAAAAATGTGGAGAATTTTTTTGCAAAGCTATTTTGCAAAGCTATTGATAAACTAAAAAGTTCAATGCAATATTTGAAATATGAACAAATTGAATGCACAGTTTCGTGAAACAGAACCAATAGATTTTAGCGCCCAGTCTTTTCTGGAGGAATCGGGGGGTTGTAGATTGGTCAAAGGTAAGCACTTCTGCGTTATGCAAAGTGCATTTGCCTTTACGTATGAAAGCGCATTGAAAAATCAGTCCCTTATAATCTTATTTTTTGTATCTAAAATGAGGATGTTTTTACAGCTTAGTTTTTAGATTTTGCTCCAGTAGCGACATCGGCACAGTTCTTATCTCTTCTTCAAACCTGCTGCCTGTTATCACATTCAATCGTTATGGAAGATCTCGGATAGGTCTAAGCTATCGTTATGGTGCGTCTTTAACTCTAACAAAAATCAGTAAAAGAACTGTTTTATTATTTTAGTCGGTGACCTTGTTACAAGCGATGTCAGTGTTGTGCAAGTGACGGATCCCATACCAATCGTTACAAATCCGCCAGTACCACCACCGACACCGATAATCGTAACCCAACCACCTCCGATCAGGACAGCCCCACCGCCGACTACCACGACCTCGAGGCCGGTAATTAGATGCATTGACTTCTACTATGAGTAAGTTTTAACAGTTACTCTCATTAAAAAATTACAGATGAACTGGTTCTTTTTAGCTGCGGAATTATTGCATTCTTCGGGTACTGTCGCTCTCCAAGTGTACGTATGCAATGTTTACGAGCTTGTGGAGTCTGTTGATGGCAATAAAGCTTTAGAATTTTGTATTCCAAATATATATGTACATAAATCACAATAAAGTTGATAAAACTATTTGTGCACTAAAATGACAGCAAAATCTGGTGCTCTTGATGTAACACTCACAAATGCAGCTAAAAAATTGCGATGATGGTTGGAGGACATTCTCTTGTATTTGTCTTGCAAAGCATTCGAAAGCTTTCTGCCTGCAGGAGAGTTCTCTT